TATTCTTTAATTATCCCATCATGAGAGTATCTGTATTAATTTGAATTCAGATAGCCCTTTGCACAACATGGAACTTCTCCTATCCATGTTATCATTAATACTTGCTAATTATCTGTCTTTGTTTGTTCTAGCTGCAGCATCCATAATGTTGGTATATCTGTTTCTGGAAGAACTTCCAACTTCTAGGAACTGTCTTGGAAGCCTATTTCCAAAAGCTGAAATTTGTCTGGTATTTTGCATTCAAATAGTGATGGTTATTCAGGATTAAATTCATAATTTTTACATATCCTTTTCCATTCAGAAAACTAACTAATTTAAAACTGGCACCAAGTTCACTTAATGTATGTTGATATGTGTTTGTGTGTGTATATATATATGTGTGTACATACACACACACACACACACACACACACATATATAATACCCAAACAAAGCTGAATACCATACATATAGATACTCATGAAAATTTAAGAAAACATATATATATATATATATAAATAACAAACACTATACAGAAGCCTGATGATGGCAGATGAGATTCTGCCGAAACGTTGCTACAACTTTAAAAGCACAACTATAATGACGTGGGAAATATATATGGTATTCAGCTTTGTTCGGGTATTTTCCCACGTCATTATAGTTGTGCTTTTAAAATTGTAGCAACGTTTCGGCAGAATCTCATCTGCCAACTACAATGACATGGGAAAATACCCGAACAAAGCTGAATACCATACATGTAAGTACCCGCGAAAACTTAAGAAAACATATATATATATATGCCAACTACAATGACGTGGGAAAATACCCGAACAAAGCTGAATACCATACATGTAAGTACCCGTGAAAACTTAAGAATATGTGTGTGTGTGTGTGTGTGTGTATATATATATTATATATATATATATATATATATATATATGTGTGTGTGTGTGTGTGTGTGTGTGTGTGTATATATATATATATATATATATATATATATATATATTCTGAGGTTCTCGCGGGTATTTGTATGGATCTTTGGTTATTTGGGTTTTCTCCTGTGTAAGATTGGAAGTATCTAGGCAACGTTTCGATGAAGTCTCATTCATCATCTTCAGGCTTGTGTCTTCAGCTCTGTGCTTCTCAGAGTGATGTGAGCTTGCAGCTGCTTCTTCCTTTTAACTGCTAGTGGGGGTGTGACTTGATTGGGTGGGGTCTTGGCTGTGTTCTCATTGGTTGGGGGTTTGGCAGTATACAGAAGCTGATGATGGCAGATGAGATTCTGCCGAAACGTTGCTACAACTTTAAAAGCACAACTACAATGACGTGGGAAAATACCCGAACAAAGCTGAATGCCATACACACACACACACACATGTACACATACACACACACACACACACTGCTCAAAAAAATAAAGGGAACCTTTAAACAACACAATGTAACTCCAAGTCAATCACACTTCTGTGAAATCAAACTGTCCACTTAGGTAGCAACACTGATTGACAATCAATTTCACATGCTGTTATGCAAATGGAATAGACAACAGGTGGAAAGCATAGGCAGTTAGCAAGACATTCCCAATAAAGGAGTGGTTCTGCAGGTGGTGACCACAGACCACTTTCTGGCTGATGGTTTGGTCACTTTTGAATGCTGGCGGTGCTTTCACTCTAGTGGGAGCATGAGACGGAGTCTACAACCCACACAAGTGGCTCAGGTAGTGCAGCTCATCCAGGATGACACATCAATGCGAGCTGTGGCAAGAAGATTTGCTGTGTCTGTCAACGTAGTGTCCAGAGCATGGAGGCACTACCAGGAGACAGGCCAGTACACGGAGGAGGCTGTAGGAGGGCAACAACAAGACATGGAGGAGGCTGTAGGAGGGCAACAACCCAGCATCAGGACCGCTACCTCTGCCTTTGTGCAAGGAGAGACAGGAGGAGCACTGCCAGAGCCCTGAAAAATGACCTTCAGTGAGCCACAAATGTGCATGTGGCTGTTCAAACGGTCAGAAACAGACTCCATGAGGATGGTATGAGGGCCCGACATCTACAGGTGGGGGTTATGCTTACAGCCCAACACCTTGCAGGATGTTTGGCATTTGCCAGAGAACACCAAGATTGGCAAATTCACCACTGGCACCCTGTGCTCTTCACAGATGAAAGCAGGTTCACACTGAGCACATGTGACAGACGTGACAGGATCTGGAGATGCCGTGGAGAACGTTCTGCTGCCTGCAACATCCTCCAGCATGAATAGTTTGGCAGTGGGTCAGTAATGGTGTGGGGTGGCATTTCTTTAGGGGGCCACACAGCCCTCCATGTGCTCACCAGAGGTAGCCTGACTGCTATTAGGTACCGAGATGAGATCCTCAGACCCCTTTTGAGACCATATGCTGGTGCGGTTGGCCCTGGGTTCCACCTAATGCAAGACAGTGCTAGACCTCATGTAGCTGGAGTGTGTCAGCAGTTCCTGCAAGACGAAGGCATTGATGCTATGGACTGGCCTGCCTGTTCCCCAGACCAGAATCCAATTGAGCACATCTGGGACATCATGTCTCACTCCATCCACCAACGCCACGTTGCACCACAGACTGTCCAGGAGTTGGGGGATGCTTTAGTCCAGGTGTGGGAGGAGATCCCTCCCATCTGCCACCTCATCAGGAGCATGCCCAAGCATTGTAGGGAGGTCATACAGGCACGTGGAGGCCACGCTACTGAGCCTCATTTTGACTTGTTTTAAGGACATTACATCAAAGTTGGATCAGCCTGTAGTGTTTTCTTCCACTTTAATTTTGAGTGTAACTCCAAATCCAGACCTTCATGGGTTGCTAAATTTGATTTCCATTGATAATTTTTGTGTGATTTTGTTGTCAGCACATTCAACTATGTAATGAACAAAGTATTTAATAAGAATATTTCGTTCATTCAGATCTAGGATGTCTTATTTTTGTGTTCCCTTTATTTTTTTGAGCAGTGTGTGTGTGTGTGTGTGTGTGTGTGTGTGTGTGTGTACACACATACATATGTACGTACATATATATATATGTTTGTTTTCTTATGTTTTCGCAGGTATTTAAATGTATGGTATTTAGGTTTCTTCGGGTATTTTCCCACGTCTTAATATTTGTGCTTTTATTATGCCTGAGGATGGCAGATGAGATTCTGCCGAAACGTCACTATAATAAAAGCACAAATATTAAGACGTGGGAAAATACCCGAAGAAACCTAAATACCACACACACACACACACACACACACACACACACACATACACAAGTTCACTTAAAGGTTGAGATATACATACATAGAGAGTTGTGTGTGTGTGTGTAATGTGATGAAGTATTTTTTTTCTAATTTCACTGATGCATAGTGGCAGGTTAAAAATATATTGTGGTTTCACTATAGCTGCATATTAAGTCCTATGAATCCAGAATGAAGGATTGGATATATTTAACCTTCAGAAAATACTATTATGGAAAGTATGATAGCATCTTCAACGAACTATGTGACAGATTCTATCTTAATATGGAGATAAGTACTGTTTGAAGTTTGAACTGATAAGTAGGTAAGGTAAGGTAAGGGGTTCCTTCCTTGAATATATGCAAGTAGATGACTAGTGATATTTTAATTTGATTCCTCCAATGAGCAGAGAAATGTATCAAAACTGTAATTTTATGTATAAATGTGTTCATTAATTAATTATTAAAATTAATTAATTAATTAATTTTTATTAATGTCCACTGCATTAAGGATACTCTTACTGTTTGAATGACAAAAATACTTATTTGATGCAGTGTTGGCTTTTTAAAGAAAAGGCAGTCAAGGAAATCCATTTTTTAAAATGCATTTGTCAGATTTATCTTATATTTTATTCAAATACTCAAGTGATACACACCTATTCTCCACTATGAGATTCCTTGAACTGAAAAAGAATGTCTGGCATCAACTCACATTTCCACGTTTGTAGGCTTTTACATGGATCTTAGTCCAGTCCAACAATTTAAATATTATTCAAGTATTTTACTAAATCCTAGCCATTGTAGCATTACTTCCTTATCATACCATTCATTGCATACAATGTGCAGAAAAGGATGGAGAAGTAATGTATACAACACATTGGGGAAATTAAACCAGTCTACTGCACACCAGTGGTTGTATTTTAAGATGCGGTGATAAGTTGTTAATGTTTCATAAACTTACTGAAGTTACTTCGTCTTTTCTTCTTCCCTCCCCCCTTTTTTCCTTTTGGGTATTTTTAAAAACTGTTATTAATATTTTGTTTTCTCTTTTTTAAAATGCATTTTAAAATTAGCTTCTTGCATTAGTTTTATCTATTTAATATAATTCCTAATAACATTTATTGGAAAAAAAGAATAAAAACCAACACAGCATGTACATTAACCATGTTTCACTATACCTTTCTTTTTTTGGTTCTGCTGTGTCCATATATTGCTGGGTCTTCTCTACTTTTAACATTCTTACTTTTTTATTTTTGAGAATCTTATCAGCTCCAGTTATTCCAGTTCTCTTTTCTCTTGACCCTTCATTTGTACATCACTTATTATTATAAACGGATAGCAAAAGTATGCCAGAAAATGTTTTGCTTTGTTTCATTCAATCTTTCCTCCTCCAGGTTGATACAAGACAATTCCTAAACATTATCCTTTGTTATCCTTTAATAAATCGATTGATCGATTTATTTATTTATTTATTTATTTTGTTAAGCAATTATAAGATAACAGGTATTAGTATAAACATAGTTATGGATACATGAAATGGATACATATAAGAAAAAAACAATAGGACAGGGACAATAGGGACAATAGGCACATTGGTGCACTTACGCACGCTATTGTTCATTTTAAAAAAACAGATTCCTATTGTTGGATGTTGAATATTTTTAAAGCTTGAATATTATCAAATTGCATCATGATGTGACCCTTTCTATCACTTAACAGAACAATTGAAAGACAATAATAATTTTCATTTCACTCATTTTTCTTTTTTGCTTGATTGCAGGGCTTTTTCCGCAGGAGCATTCAAAAGAACATGGTTTATACATGTCACCGAGATAAGAACTGTGTTATTAATAAAGTCACTAGGAATCGCTGCCAATACTGCAGACTACAGAAGTGCTTTGAAGTGGGAATGTCCAAAGAATGTAAGTAGAAATGCTTTATCTTTCTGTTCAAATCATAATGACATTCATGGGAATCTAGCTACTTAATTGGAGTAATTGAGATCAAATGTTGGAGTGAAAACATCAAATGTCTCCTTTTTCACGAGGCTGTCATGTACTTTACATTTTGTTGGCAGTTTCTGCACAGAATTTAGGTAGCTTGAATTCTTGCAGCGCTTAGCATCTCTCATTGCAACTCAGTACTTTGTTACTTTTTAATATGCAATCTAGAGGAAAAATTATGTACATATTTAAAGATCCTAGAAAAGAAAGGTGAAAAAATTAGAGAACAAAGCACAACAAATGAAGCCATAAGAGATACAGTAGAAGCACATACACATGCAAAAAATCCAGAAGCTAATTTCACTTATGAAATATGAATCTATTAATAGTAAAAATGGACTTGAAGCTTTAAGTGGCATCTCTTAGGTACAAACAGAATATGTGCAAATGAGAATAGGCAATAGTAAAAACAGCAAAAGAATGGCGAGTATAATCAGATTTAAAAATTAATACAGGAGAAATGGCCAACATGAGGAGAGTATTCATATAGTGCAGGAGGAGAGTATTCACATAATTACCTAAGTGGTCTTTTATGTTGTTGCAGGATAAGCAAATGTATCCAGTATATTTTTCCTCCTGAATTACAGTTACTTGATAGTTGCAGCAATACAGAAAAACACAGACATTGGTAACTGGATATTTCTTATAGCAAATGTAACATTCCCGTTTCAATACAATGGAATCAGAATACTCAGTATGTCTGATTAAATTCTAAGGTATGTTGAAATAGGAAAAAAAACACCTTTGTAACAATCAACACCCTAAAACAAAAGAAAAACTGTCGTGTGAGAACTGAGCCTGCTCAATGGCTTTGCAAGAATCCTGGAGTAAAAGAGGATGGTAGAAAAGAACCATGAAGGAGATAGTGAGAATAGTTTGATTTAGTATTGTACTGTAGTAATATAGAGAAAGATATAGTTGCTAGGAAAATAATGGCATATAGTAAGAGATTGATAGCAAGGTGCCACATTTTGCTTTTTCTCTGTTTGTTTTATATATTTATCAAATAACTAATATTTGAAGAATTATGGATTTCAGAAAACCTTCCTATGCCTGACCTTCTCTACTGTTAGTGGGTCAGATAGTGAACATTAAGTAATTAATTGCATTTTAATTCCTCTTTTGATTGCCTACTCTTAAGCCTATATTTTTTTACACTGGAAAATAAGAAATAAGACTTCTAGGCAAACTGTGACTTACATCAGAAGACTCAATTAAATAGCCAGCTTTCTTCAGTTACAGTGGAACTTGTAAAGTAATATTCAGTGCTTAGATGTGAAAGCAAAACGGATAACTGTTTTTTGTTTACAAGTATTAGCCACAAAAGGAATCTGAAAAGCAAGATGCCCTGAGTGAAATAAGATATTCTTGCACCTGTCACATGAAATGCTTATTAGAGCAGGAATTTCTCATATAAACTAGCCATTCAGTTCTTAAGAGTATTGCAACAGAATTTTGAATTGTGGATGTTAATTGCATTGGCAATGACAAGAATTAGGATAAAAGTAATAATAATATACGTAACACACTCTAAGTAACAGATAAGACTAACATAATATTGGTTATGAGAAGAAATACAACACAGGGCTATAAATGACATTACTATTGTTAAGTATGGAGAATAACGGAGACCAGACATCTGACCAGTGACTTCAACTCTTTAATAAAGTCATAGAACATAACAGAGCAATGCTATGGGCAGCAGTAACCCTTTTATAGGGTTAGCTGCTGCCTTATTAACCAATGAAAATGTGCAACAGGTTCAAACTACTGACCAATAAGGACAGTCCCAAAAGTGGCCAATCAGGGACTGGTTCTGGCCCAATCCCAAGTTGTTGTATAAGGACCAATCAAGTGTGCAGGTTTTCAACCCCTAATTTGCATTTAGGTTATTCACTTTTATTGATTCACAACACCCCTCCCCCTTGGGTTCCATTTGAGGGGAGCTGTGATAAAATCCTCAAGATAGGCAGGCCGTTTGGTCTGCCTGGATGATTTCCGAGGCTCCACCGGTTTTTGTCTAATGTCCGGTTCCAGTGGAGCGTTTGGATGACCTTTGTTAAATTCTATTTCGCTGCACGGCGATTCTGTGCTGCATTCACTGTGGTTGTCTCTGCTACTGCGTGTTTCTTCGGGGTTTTGCAGTTTGGTTTCCCCCGTATTAAAGTTCCCTGAAGACATCAACTCCCTCCCCGCTTCACGTTCCGGTGCTTCGCTGGGCTGTAGGGCTCCCGTTGACCTGCTATTAGTTGTATCAAAGTCAATTCCCTCGATACTCCCTCCCCCTTGAGTTGGTGAACTGGGGGAGTCATGGCCGCTGGGTGGTAATCTTGATCGGAGCTGGTCTATGTGGCGTTTCCACACCCTCCCATCGTCTGTTAGCAGGCGGTAAGATCTAGGCCCGGTGAGGTGGGTAACGGTTGCGGGTATCCATAATGGGTCGCCGGAAAAGTTTTTGGCAAAGATTAAATCGCCTACCTTAAATTCCCGGCATTTGCTGCTGGAGCCGAAAGGTTTTTCCGGTGCGAAAGCGGGGTGGAGCCGGTCAAGGTGCGATCGTATTTTCCGGCCCATAAGAAGTTCAGCGGGTGTTTTGTTGGTCACGCTGTGGGGCGTGATGTGCTGCAATAAGAGGATTCGATTGATTCTCCTGGAAGCCGTTCGGATCATCCAGTGTGTGGGAGGTCCTTCAGTCTGCGTCGTTGTAGGCTGAGCTTAATTACTGAGGATTGCTCCGCCCTTCATCACGTGGCTGCCTTGCAATCCCCAGTTTACGCTCAGCCTTCGTTAGGTTAGGCTGTGTATCTCCCACTCGGCCCCCGCAGGAACCTCCCGGTTCGTCTCCATTGTTACCTGGATGACATCCTCGTCCTGTCCCACCCCAGACTCTAAGCAGGGAAGGATGTCAGAACTACCCTCTCTGCCCTCCAAGACCATGGGTTCCTGGCAAACTGGCAAAAGGGCTGACTGTTACCACCTACACGGATCACCCCTTGGGGTCCGTCATTAACTCAGTTCGAGGAAAGGGTGTTCCCTTCCTCGGAAAGATTCCTTAACATTCAGGAAACCGTCAAACAAGTCAGACGTTCAAGAAGGGTAACACCTTAGAATTGTCTAAGCTACTAGGTAAAATGGTCTCATGTATTTCCATTGTTCCCTGGGCCCGGTTACACACCAGGTCCCTACAGTGGTTCCTGCTCCCGTTCCAACGGTCCTGCAGAAGCAATTCAAAGGCCACGGTCAAGGTGCCTTCAAGGGTCCTCACGTCTCTCCTCTGGGTACCAGTCCCGCCATCAACAAGGGACATGGCTTCAAGGAGTCCCAACGCCTCACCCTCACCACAGACGCCAGCCTGTCTGGATGGGGCAATCACATCCACTCGCTCTCGACTCAGGGCACATGGTCTCAGGTAGAACGAGCATGCAGTATAACTGGTTGGAACTCCGCGCCATCCACCTGGCCCTGCGCAACTTCCTCCCTCAGGTACGCGGGCGGCATGTCCTCATACTCGCGGACAACATCACGACCAAGGCCCATGCCAACCGACAAGGGGGCACCAGTCCATCCGTTTGATGAGAGAGGCCGAGCGCCTCTGCCATTGGGCGGAGCGCAATTCCCTCTCTCTCAAAGCCGAGCACATCTCAGGGGACTTAAACACCCAAGCAGATGGGTTGAGCAGGACCACGGTGGACCAGCCCAAGTGGCGACTCCACCCGTCACTGTTCAGGGAAGCGACCAAGCTGGTCGGTCTCCCGTTAGTGGACCCCTTCGCATTCCTCCTCAACACTCGACTCCCCAGGCTTTCTCGAGGTACCCCTCCCACGGGGCCGAGAACTACAATGCCCTCCGTTGCCCCTGGCCATCAGGGCTTCTATATGCATCCCTTTAGCCCTGGCCCCCAGAGTCATCCAGAAGCTCATCTCTGAGAAAGCAGAACTGATTCTGGTGGCACCCTACTGGCCCAGGCGCCCATGGCTTGTGGACCTCCGCAACCTTCCGGTGGCCCCTCCCTGAAAAATCCCTCCGATCAGGATATCCCTTTCTCAGGGTCCCCTCCAGCACCCGGATCCTCAGTGGCTCCTGTTAGCAGTTTGGAGGTTGAGCGGGAGCGCTTAAGAAAGGGGGCAGTTTCTGACCAGGTTATCGATACTATTCTAGCCGCCAGGCGGCCCTCCACAACCCGGATATACAATGCCACTTGGAATAGTTTCTGCAAGGGTGCCAGGGGTTCCAGGTCAACCCGCTTTCACCCTCCATCGTTCAAGTGTTGACATTCCTCCAAGAGGGTCTGAGGAAAGGTCTTCTCCGAACTCCCTGAGGCATCAGGTCGCAGCCCTTTCAACCGTCATTGTTTTGACAATCTGGGGTCCCTTCCCTCCACCCTCGCATCAGGGCTTTCCTCAGGGGAACCACCAACTTTGTCCCCCAACGGTTCACAGACACCCTACCGGGGACCTCAATAAGGTCCTGGTGGCCCTTCTTAAACACCCCTTGAGCCTCTCAGGGTATCCACTCTCCAGTTCCTAACGTACATAGTCGTGTTCCTGGTGGCCATTACCTCGGCTCGCCGAATATCAGAGATAGCAGCCTTGTTGGTGAGGTAGGACCTTTGCATCTTCCATGCCGACCGGGTAGTTCTCCGGCCGGGCCCTACCTTCTTGCCCAAGGTCAACTCAACCTTCCACAGGGCACAGGAACTTACACTTCCGAACTTCTGCCCCGATCCCCCGTGGGAAAGGGAGAAGCTCTGGCACACCCTGGACGTTAGACAGGCCCTCCGCATTTACATTAAACGTACCCAACCCTTCAGGAGATCCGAATACCTTTCCTCTCCTTTCAGCCCATATCATTAGGCCACAAAGTGTCCCCGTCAACCATCGGCCGCTGGATTAGCGCTACTATTTCCAAGGCGTACTTGT